AACAAACTCAAAATCAAATGTAACAAAACAGGTCCATAAAGTCCATTATTCCATCTCACATGTTTGTTTGTTTGTTTGTAGAACAGAAGCAATAGCATCTTGTTTGTTTGTTGTTTAAAACCACACTCGGCAATATTCCACCGATATTATGGCAGTCTGTAAATAATCGAGTCTGGACCAGACATCCAGTGATTGACATCATGAGCTTCGATCTACGCAATCGGGAAACAATGACATGCATCAACCAAGTCAGCGAGCCTGACTACCTGATCCTATTAGTCGCTTCTTACGACAAGCATAGTCACCTTTTACAGCAAGTATGGGTTGTTGAAGACCCTTTTGAACCCGGATCTTCATGGGTCGCATCCCACCTGCATACCAGTAGATATTGTGGAACTCATGGTGAATGAGTGAGTGAGTTTATGCTGCTTAAGCAAGATTCCATCCCTGTCACCAAGAACAGGCTTCACACATTGTATTCACCTGTAAATAAATCCTGGTTTGAATAGTAAAACTCAGGTGTTGGTCATGCCTAGCAAACTCTGTAACCACAGAGCTCTCCAGCCATCCTGAGGTTTCCCAATGAACCAACTAAGGACAGTTTGGTTTGCCTTCTGCCATCGATTTCCAGGTTATGGAGGTTCCAATGTATTACACAATAAACACTGACCTCTGATAGTGATGTCGTCTATATCATACAATACACCTGCATTATAGATACATGAATCGCACTCTCCCCACAAGCCAAACACTAGCATCTTCACTAAAGATAACAGATGCAGTAAAGTTCATATGTGGCAAGGTATGCTGAATAGAAATATTATGATATGAAAAATATTATGGGCATAATCTAGTCGTAACATGTTTATTTGTTTTCCATTACCTTTACTTCTATATGAAAGCACATCATGTAGACATCCATCACTCAAGAAAACATAGGTAATGAAAATTCACACTGTAATGAAATGCAAAAACATAACATTGTCTTCATCACATCAATACTTTTTTTCTGGTCAACCACATCAAGAAGTATTCCAAATAAACACAAGACAGTTTTGTTTAAAATCTTCTGACAATCCTCACTGCTCACATGGAAATGTATTCAGACAATATTTGTAAAATATGCTCGTATTATTCATTTCCTTACACCGACAGTGACACCATGCTCATCTTCCCAAGGCAAGAGAGTTTACTGACTATAAAAGTCCAGTTTCCACCCTTGCCAAACTACATTGGAATTTCATAGCTCCTGTAGCGCCACCTGTTGCTCTTACGGGTTATGTCCCTTCTATGTCCCTCCTATTGACCAATGAGATTCCACTTTTATAAAACTTGCATTTGCCTCAAACAAAATGGTGTCAACAGCCAAAACAATCTCATTGATTATAAAGGTCTATATTGTAATAAAATGGGTCTGGCCTGGTGAAGTGCATCAAATTACTTGAGCACCTTGCTAAATATAAGACATGAAAAGATTTGAAAAATATCTGTCAACGCGGAGTTGACAGAGAATGTGCTTTGCAAATCCTGCAATCAATGGAAATCTGCATGGCAGTTTACGAAACTGATGTTGATTTCATTCCGGGATTTTGATTGGACTATGCATAGACTCGTTAGTCGAGCCAAAATACAACTTCGGAATTCAAGCCTTGTTCGGTAAGGGTGGAAACTGGACTTTTATAATCAGTTAGCTCTCTTGCCTCGAAGATGCACCGTGCTCTGACCGCCGCTATGATCACTAGGTCAGGTCATTTAATAAGGATTATGGTAGTAGATTAAGGACTGAAATATATGTTTACTTCTCTCTTAAATGTCCTCCTCCTTCTATGACATACCCACAGTCATCTCCATTCATAATAAACTTCTATCTTCCCTCTGCCATGTATGAAATACAATATTTAAATATTTTGCAGCCATAGTGCTCATATCAAGAGAAATATAATGCACTGTTCCTGGGGGAATACAACTGATGTCGCCACAGGAGAGTCCTCCTTTAACATATCAGATTTCATGGTAAATTAACGTATCCAATCCCTTCCATTAGACATCATACAAATTTCTTGTCCAAGATTTGAATACTGCTAATTTGATCCCTATGTAAGTACTATAAACTGTGACATATTCACACATTTTACCAAGAACTCTTTTGTGTAACCTGGCTGAAATCTTAACAGTAAACACGGTACATGTAACTTCTTCTATTCACATCTGATGTATGGGTTCTCCACTACAGCTGACTGTATTCCTTCCTACAGATGTATGGAATTCATGCTCATATCTATCTGGGCCCGGTCCCACAAAGCAATCTTAGTGCTACGACTGTCTTATATCTATGTTAAAGTATGGGAGTTAGGATCGCCTTAGAGCTCTGGGCTCACTTGCACAAAGCAATCTTTGCGCTAAGATGATCGTAACTCCCATACTTTAAGATAGGCTTACAATAGTCTTAGCCCTGGTTACAAAGTACCTTTACCTACATCTAGATTACTAACTGTTATACTGACATTCTGAGGTAAGCTGAAATCAGCATGGATGTGAGAGGTCATGTTTTTGAACAAAATAAAGATAGTCAGGACATATCAGATCTACTAAAGAAGGAAAAGAAACTGCAAAAATGATGTGGTATAAAGTACTGGTGTTCTATACGACTGGAATAACTCATATCATTATCCTATCTGGATCACGTACATGAGGGACATGAGAAAATACATTGACTCTCCTATGGTACTGTAATCCTTTGACACATTCACCAATGTAAAATCTTGATGTATCAAACATGTATACTACTCACAAGAAGTTAAAGAACACCTGATTCTTTTATACTATAATAATATCGGAATTGGGTGTTCTTTAACTTCTTTTGAGTAGTATAAAAAGAAACCATTTTTCACATGCTGTACAACAAATTGCGTATTCATGGACGGACTTGATTCAAGTGCACTCAAAAGTTGTGAATTATGCTATGTTACATAAATACAAATACATACATTGTATCCAACATTATGCAAGCAATCATAAAAAACTAGTCTGTATAAAACATAATCTGATTCTGCTCAGGTAAACATACAACATTAGGACATAGCATATTCCTCAGACAACAGCTGGCTCTGATAATTACACTTCACAACACAGAACACATTGTATGATGAATGTTGAATTGTGACATGTCATGAATGCTTTGATACCATCTCTTGTCTCGTTGTACAAAGAGTCAAATTGTCAGAATATGTGCGACTTCCCATTTTCATACTTAAGCCAGGCTCTGTTTCATATTCCTTATATAATATTGGTAAAAATAAGCAGAATGCAAAAAAAGAAGGTTAAAATATGATGTCAAGATTCCTTAAACAGCTCCTTAAACAAATCGTTAAAATATAACATGCTTAAAATAAACATCTCTTCAATTAAACTGAGGCCAAGTTCGTCTGTAAAACAACAAAAACAGATAAGGCTTTGGACAATGTGATATTCATACGTCCTTGTTTCACTTTGACACAACTAAAGTAACAACATCAACCATCTACACGGACAGACTCCATGGGTCATATCCAACTAGTCCACTGATCATTTCAGACTAGTGGATATGTAAAATAACTACCTATGGGAATACAACCACTAGTCCATTTAGATTGTTACTAGTATCGGATTAACAGTCCAGTGGCATTATCTATCCCTGCATCTACAGATGAAGCTAGGATCAACGCCTGTATCTGACCGACACATAAGATACAGGTACCCACCATCCAGTGAGGAACTAAGCACATTATAACACTGGCTCTGCCTGTTGTAACAAAATACAGAATATGGTAGTTGGCCTTAAGAACACATGTATACTTGAAAAGACACCATGTACAAGTTACACAGAAAACAGAACCATGTAGACTTCATTGCAATATGTTTTGATTCACATGAATATAAAAAAATAGCAATATTGTATCAACCATTCATATCGGACGGATATTTCTGTGATATGAGTTTCTGTGACAAGACATCATAAACAGTAAAGTCTTAATCACATGCTTATGGATGAATATTTGCGTAGAGACTGTATCATGACAAATATTTTTTACCTTAAAATACAATATGAGTACACCATAATGCAATGTATTAAGTATGTTAAGATCTTATGATATTACCACAAACCAAAATATACAGTAACAACACTTAGTTCAAAACAAAACCCATTTATCTGAACAAACTTTATAAATCATGGATATAAAATGAAGCTAATCAAGATAATAAGAGATAACAATCTGGATATTACCTGGTATATTCAGCAAAAATCATATAAACTGATTTCATTCAGCTTGAAAGTTCAATTTGATGAACAGACACACACACAATTGAGGCAGGTATCCTACATCAATAAACAACTTTCCTTTCTTCTAATAATTAAAACAAATATAACAAAACCACAACAAATAATAAATTATCTTGAAAATATTTAAGTACACTGGATCTCCTGAATGAATAACAACTGGATCTGATACAAAAAGATCAAAGAAAAACATGTTTTTTAAAACTGTTTTTAAAAGGTTAATTATTTCAGACTGTATAAATGCATCTTGCAACAACAGAGTGAGTGAGTGAGTGAGTGAGCAAGTTTAGTTTAATATCACTTCGAATAGTCTTTCAGTTACATCACAGAATGGCATGTTGATGTGGGAGGAAAGCCGGAGGTTAGATGTTTACCACTTCAATGAAACACATTGGCATAGGTTGGTGCTGACAAACCTAGAAATTTATTAAGGCAAATCTGTAGGCCATTAGCAGGGCACTGCTGGCTGAAGACATTATTATGTGTACCCTAGCCAAAATCAGAATGCAGAAAGGTACCCTGGGATGTGCAATGTGTTTAACTGTTCCATGAACGCTTACGTATACAGTGAGTTGGGTTTAACGCCGCTTTTAACAGTATTCCATTTATATCGCTAGGTGTCAGCTTAATGTGGGAGGAAAGCCCGAAGTGATGCAGGTCTCAGACGTTTACCACTTTGGTGAAACCTACGAGCACAGATATGGTGCTGACAAACCTAGAAACATAATTGGGGCAAACCGGGATTCGAACCCACAAGCATAGGTTTCTGGCGTGCCCAAGAGATGCAACTCTGCACAGCAAATCGCTGCGCCCGTGCCCCCCTTACTTATACAACACATCCTGGATGCCGAACCCCACGAAATTTCAACATGGCACTATGCATTGTACATTCTTCTCTCGATATTTCCTTACCATAAATGATTCGGTGATGTCATACTGTTGCATTCCAGTGTGCTACATGAAAGTGAGCAAACACAATAATGTGCGTACATTACTCTAATATTCCACAATGCACGGCATTATCCAGCATGCACTCGTCATCAGGTGAACCAGAACTTCAACATGAACAGCTTTCGGTTTCGGCTTGAGGAATATGGACTCATCTGCTGTTTATGGTACTAGGTACCTTACTGTATTCTGATTTGGGCTAGGTTACATTATTGTCTACAGAAAAATACCTGGGGTACATATCTATAGTCCCCATGCCGACAAAAATCCATTCAGCATTATTTTTTAGCTGTTTTAAACATGGAAGCCAAATATCCCTACCATGGTCAAGCAAGAAGCAGTTGTGTTTGTGTGATGTAAGCTGAGGGCTAACTGGAATAGGCCTATGCTTGATTTGATGGTAAGAAATAGTGACTACACTGCATAGCAATTCTACATAATTACATTGGAGTTGGCATACATACACACAAATTGGTATTCTAAACTTTCTAAGAATGTTGATTGCCTCAAGCACAGTCCCACTTTAAAATAAAGACTTGAAACTACAATACAGTCGAACCTTGTTGTGACAACCAACAAATTGAATTTATAACAGGTCATAAGAGATTAGGACCAGTTCCGGAAGCAGAACTAGATTTCAGTGCCCAGGCTGCTGGTAGTGAAGGGGGAGGCAACTCAGGCGCATCATCGACCTCACTGTCCCCCATCTCGATTGATGTAATTGCTATATCTTGAATAATAGATTCACGAACACAATCTAACTTTTTTTAAGTTTTAGAGAACATTTAACTTGTTCCTGGACAAGAAAAATGGAACATTCCACTTGTCCAGCAGTTCAGTGTTTAAGATGATACCCGGTGTAGTATTCAATCAGTGTGGACAAGGTACAAGGGTCCATCTCTACTTGAGACAGTTCTGTCACCGGCCTGGACAACTGTCTTCATCAGCAATTAACTGTCAAATCTCACAAGGAAATATACAACATCAATAATGTATTTATACAAAAATAGTTGGATGGCTTATTCAGTTGTGCACATGAAGAAATATAAGTTAGGACATCACAGATATGCATTAGCGAGACGATCATCACAACATGATATCATCGTCATCGTCGTAGTTGGGTCTCATTCGTAGTGCTGAGTCAGAAACCTCCGGTAGTTCATCTACCAAACCCCACTTTTCCCCAAAGTCAGCTGAAAATGAAAAATACATTTGTAAGCATGAAGTTGACAATGATACAACTCATGAACAAGGAAGTTTGTGAACATATCAATGATATATGGATCTATTGTACATGGAATAGGACAGGTGATGAAGCACTCTGTGACTCTGCATCACCTTCACTGCAACAGGCTGCAAGTTTTTAACATTTCTTGTTTAAGGACAATCTCATTAAACATGTTAAAATCAGATATTAGCGCTCGCTACCCCCACACCAAAGAATGTCAGAAAGCCTTTTGCGAGCTTTTGACCGACCAATGCAGTGACTCACAGGAAGTCTACATTTAGCTAATCGGATAGCAGCCTTTTGAGTTTTACGGCACAAGTTTCAAACTGACGACTTCAATTCCAGACGATGCTTTGAAAAAGAATCTGGAATGTCTAATAGAAGGCCAAGATTGTATGGAAGTAATTTCCACAGGCTCTGGAAAACCTCTTCCTTTTAAAATGTCTATCCCATTGAAGCAAGAGAAACATGGTGATATTGACAGAATCTGAAGTAGTACAGCCTGGAACAGGGTCTCGGATTGTCCCATGTTGATCTTTCCAAGGCTGCACTTAGAATACACATTCAGAGTTTCACTTTTGCAATCTCACAACCGATGCTCTGACTGGTCGGACGAAAAGTCGCTCTGACATGATCTGTAACAGGATGTCCTTATTGAAGAGGTAGCAAGCGCTAAGATCTGATTTGAAAGAGACTGGTTTAAGGATGTCCGATGGTCTTCATATTATTTTTGTTAGCATAGGTAATTCAAAAGTCTAAATGATCTAATCATTAATGTCCATGTTAATGAACATTGTAGTGCTTTTCTTGTTCACTCATAACTTAAGCAATACTTGACCTATCACAATACATTATGTCACGATACAGAAAGACTTACACAAGCTGCCAATGAAAGTTATAGGCCTAACATAAACACATATATTTTAGTCCAGAGTCACTGTTTTGTGGAGGAAATGTCCACTAAAAACTGCTGGAATGCACTGAAATTTACATTGCAGAGACACAATTCATGTGACATAGCGGAAAGTATGAAATCATGGAAATGTATTGTTTTGTATTTAGGTGACCTATGATACAACAGCTGTATAATCTAAAAAAATGATTTTACAAAATTTTGAACCAATATTACCAACAGCAGCGAGCATAAGATACCATGGTTACCAATAAGTCATTTAATCACAAATCCAAGACAACCTACTTGTTTGACTGTTCCTGTGTTTGTCCTCCTGATCTGATCCGTCCAAATAACTGTTTGGTTTGTCCCAGGGATAGTTACGACTGGAGTAGTCTGCCCTTGTTGAAGGTGAGAGTTCAAGGTCATTTTGTGATGGAGAAAGCTGATTTTTTTTAGGCTTCTTCTTTTTCTTCATTTTCTTAATCTCTGAGTCAGATCCATTATCCATCCCTTAAAAGGTTAAAACAAGTACTGTTAACAAAACCTTAATGTCATGCCACAGTTACCATATTTTGTATGTTTTACTCATGAAACAGTGACTTACTGAAAGGTGCTTTACACCTACAGCTACAGCTTTATAACTGCAGCCTGTTAACTATCAAGTCTAGACCAGACAAACCAATGGTTAACAGCATGAGCAATGATCTATGCTTGCAGGATAATATTATGATTGTTCAGCTCTGATGTTCAAAACCTCAAAACCTTGTAAACGATGTGCTGGTTTTCTTAGCTGCCTCAGGCTGATGTTACCTTGGGCTAGTCTTTATCTATAAGCTATAGCTGAAACTTATATTTCAAATTTGCATTTTCCCTGAATCCAAATATATCACTTGCATTGAATCTAATTATTATATGAAAATTTAGTATAAATGTTACACTGTGATAACAAAATGACCTGAGATACTGATTTTAGTTGGCACTTAACAAGCTTATGACAAGCTTGGGGTAAGGGCACTGACTCCGCCCCAGAAGCAACAGAATGGTGAGTGAGTGAGTTGGGTTTAACGCTGATTTGAACAGTACTCCAGTTATACCACAGCATGTCAGCTTGATGTGGGAGGAAAACCTAAGTGATGCAGATCTTAGACATTTACCACTTTGGTGAAACCCACAAGTACGGGTATGGTGCTGACAAACCTAGAGACATAATCAGAAGGTACAGGGATTCAAATCCATGATCATAGGTTTCTGGCGTGCTCAAGGGACACAATTCTGCACAGTGAATTGCAGTGCCTTAGACGACTTGGCCACCCTGTCAGAATGATGATCTATACCATGTGCACTAACATGACTAAGAGAAAACATTGCCATCACCATGATCACAGACAGACAAATAACAGACAAACAGCCTGCCAGTGAGTAACTAATGGTTATTTATGTTTGTTAAAAAACATTCAGTTGATACACTTAACATGACAAACAATGATAATCATGAAAACAACAAACAAACAATTCAGTCCCAAAATTGACAAGGGCAGAGATGCCAACCTTACATCATTGTATATTGGTGCAACTAGCCTCTTCAAACATGTTAAAAGTTTGGATCATGTTGAAATTTTATTCCAAAATTAGTTATCATATTTCCCAGTGTGTTTCCTGCATTCAAACATACAAAAATGTAAACAAGACAATCATATTTATAACCCCCACCCCTGATGATTCTGGGTTCAGGAAAATAAGTCCCCAGCAGCCTGTGCTGGTCGTAAGACTGGACTGGACTCTCAGGTCCAGACTCCATCATCTACAGGCCACCATCATATAGCTGAGTGTAGCGTTAAACAACAAACAAAAACATTTTATACAAATTATCACAGTTATGCCATGATATCATGCTTAAACATTTAGTTACATTTTACAATTGTCTTCTAACTTTCCATAGCTTTTGAAGCAATCTTAATCCCAATAATGGTAATAATTCATGGTAATATTTGAGGGTAATAATCATGATAATGCCTAAATTGTACAAGTTGGCATCTCTGCATTGGGAAAAAATATCAGACTCGTGTTCGAGAAACTCAGAAAGAAACAACAGACAAACAGCCTGCCAATGTGTAACTATGGTAACCTACCTCATTGTTCATCTGAAAACATTCAGTTGATATGGCTCAAATGCTAATACACATACAGAAATGCAGGGAAAGGATTTCAAACTTTCTTTCAAGCAAATGAGCAATTAATTAAGAGTATTCCAACAGAACAAAAGGCATCCGCTATCATACACTCCAGCCTATCAGCATGATCTGTCAACACAGTATATCAAATCAACAGGGACAAGATGACCGTTGGTTACCTACCAGAATCTACAGTCGCAACAAGACGTGGTGGAAGCGGGCGAGGGATGGGAGACAACTCCGCCGCGTCATGCAGATCAAATCCACCATTGCTCTGCTGCGAATCCTCAAAACGTTTCTTCTGTTTTCTTTTTGTTTCTTTCGGAGTGTGAGCCCCATCCTCACCATCAAGAGGTGTTAACTTATGACTAGATGTACGAATGTCATCTCCATTTTCATCCCCGAAGGATTTAGCTGTAACTGAGATTTTCGAAACAGACCTCATTGTCTTCTGTGATTCTGCCAGCCGGGCTGTGTCGTCTCCAGTTTGAGAATATTCACTTCCGTACTCGGCATTTTCAGAATAGGCATTCTTTTGCTTGACCTTCTTTTTCTTCTTTTTCTTAGCAGTACCGTCCTCCATAAACTTTGTTCCCAGAGGTTGCTGCAGCGGGGGCAACACCCGACGTGATCTGTTTGTGGACGGACTCACTAATTCATCACTGTCCTCTGCACATTTGTCACCAAGGGGAGCTAACCCATACGGACGGTTCGAGTGAGGAGTTCGGAGATAATCTGCTTCTTCCAGGTCGTCCGTTTTTGTCATTGTTCTGTCATCTTCACCTTTAGCTTTAGCTTTAGCTTTCAGCCCCTTGAGACGCCTCTTCTCCTCCTTCATCTGAGCTTCCTGGAACATCAAGATGATAAATGTCAAAAATCAACAAAAGCAGAGACTCAGGCCATAATATATCAATTATCAGATTTCATCCTGGCCCGCCTCACTACCAAAGACCCAATCTCATTAAAATCAGATCTTAGTTCTTGCTACCGTTAAACAAAGATCTGAGAACATCGCATACAGGTCACATCGCGAACATTTACTGACCAATGAAAGGACCAACAAGAAGTGGACACCAGCCAATCAGAGAGTAGCTTTCCCCAGCTTTATTGAGCTTGTTTTAAACCAGTGACTTCCATACCAGACTTATGCTTTGCAAATATATTGATTCACAATTGGATAAGTGAACAAAAGAAAGTTCTGGAATGTCTAATAGATGACCAAGATTGTACGGCAGTACCAACTACACACTGCGGAAAGTCTCTTCTATTTCAAATGTTTATCCCACTGAAGCGAGAGATGGAACATACAGCCAGTAGCATTATTCGGAATACTACGTGTTAACCCTTTCAAGGTTGCATGATTAAAAAACACATCCAAACTGTCACTTTTCCAGACTGGGAAGCGGCGCTCTGATTGATGTGACCCGTAATGGGATGTCCTCAGATCTTTGTTAGCGGTAGCGAGAACTAAGATCTGATTTTAATAAGATTGAGAAAGACCCCGCCTCGCATCATCTTATTCCCTTCCATATAATTACAAACAGAGAAGAAAATTACTGTGTTGCCTTCGTTCTTGATCTAATAAAAACACCATAGCAAGGTCCTATTAAACATTCATGCTTCATCAGAGTTTATATGACTCATATCCATCAATAATCAGTGTACAAAGATGACTTGGACAGTTTATTTCAATTTATTTAAAATTTATTAAAACTAAACTGCATCCTGCCATGCTCACAAAACTGAAAAATACTGAAAGATTTAATAATTGTGACCTTAAGGTGAAACATTTACGTCACACCTGCAATTCGTCAGCTAAGTAGCAATAAACAATAAAACAAAAGCAATATCAAGACTAACTACAAACCTGAAATGTCTTGTTTGTACGCAAAACAACACCACTCAGCAATATTCCAGCTATATGATGGAGGTTTGTAAATAATCAAGTCTGGACCAGACAATCCAGTGATTGACATCATAAGCATCGATCCACGCAGTTGGGATTTGATGACATGCATCAACCAAGTCAGGGAGCCTGACCACCTGATCCCGTAAAGAGCCTCTTACTGCAAGCATGGGTTGCTGAAGACCAATTCTAACACAAGCATGTTTGTTGTTTAGCGCCGCACTCAGCAATGTTCCAGCTATATGAGGGTGGTCTGTAAATAATCGAGTCTGGACCAGACAATCAAGTGATTGACATCATGAGCATCAATCCATGCAACTGGGATACGATGACATGCATCAACCATCCGATCCCGTTAGTCAAGCATGGGTTGCTGAAGACCTATTCTACCCCAGATCTTCACGGGTCTCTAACACAAGCATCTATAGAGCATGTGCAGTGAACACTGTATTATGATGTAGTTTACAATGTTACAAAGGTAACAGCAATATTACCAACATTTTTCCTGACAAGTTTGTCAATTGTGTGACAAATGAACCATGCTGACTGGTTAACATAGGATACATAATCTTAACAAATAATTGTAGATATGATCTATGTTAAATTATGGGAATTAAGATAGTCACTGTCCTACAATGAGTAAAATCGCTTTAATCTTAAAATGCAATAAGGTAGAAACAGTCTGATTGGTTGGAAAGTGTTATGGTAATAGTTTAAACCAATGACCAAGGTACATGTAATTAATCAGAGTGGCCTCCCTTGGAATGACATGTATTGTTGGTGAATGTCTGCAATTTACGAACTTTACATTGGTCAAGCCTTATGAAACATATAGAGAGTATGCCCTTTTTCTTGATTCCTGTTCAAATTAAATATTCTGTGGGATTAAATGGAATATAACCGTTGATTACACTCACCTGCATTTGATATAAAGCTAGTCCCTTGTGACATTATTTGAATGTTAAACTAAAGCTCATGTCACATCTTAAAAACAGTAATATCCCCTGTCTAACAATCATTATACACATTTTTACTATTTTACAAAGAACAAAGAAGAATTAAACTTTTTATCACAGATAAGAAATAAAAAACATCATTATCATGGTTATGAACAAACATCACACTAATTAATTAAAACTACAGAATAACACTCAAGTCAAATGTTTTTCCAACATGGCACAGTGTTGATGATGTGAGCTACATCGCCAAACCAGTGAAGTCGACAGTACTTGTTACAAACAGGAGTGTCCTTTATCACACTGTATAGTTTGTATCAGAGTTGATTTTGGAAGTAATGTCCCACGTCTTCGGAGTATGATGACACACAATCAACCAATACATGGAGACCTATCTCATAAAAATCAGATCTTAGTTCTCGCTACCACTCAACAAAGATCTTGAGACATCCTAATATGGGTCACGCCTGAACGATCTTTCATGTGACCGTTCAGACCGTTGCTTACCAGAAAAGCGTGAAAATGATGATCTTGTCAGGTTTGTGTTTAATGCCACACTCAGCAGTATTCCAGGTATATGAAAATAATCGAGTCTGGACCAGATAATCCAGTGATCTACACAATTGGGATACGATGACATGCACGAACCAAACCAACTCAGCAATCCTGACCATCCGATCCCGTTAGTTGCCTCTTATAACAAGCATAGTTGCCTCTTATGACAACCATTGCTTGCTGAAGACCAATTGTAACCTGGATCTTCATGGGTTATCAATACTGTAAGCAACGATCCACATTGTCGGGGTAACCAAGTCACAGAGCCTAACCACCTGATCCATTAAGTCACCCATTATGACCAGCATAGGTTATTTGGGAGCAGGGGGCAGTCGGGTAGCCTAGTGTTAAAGCGTTCGCTCATCACGCCTAAGACCTGGGTTCCATTCCCGACACGGGTACAATATGTGAAGTCCATTTCTGGTGTCCCCTGCCATGATATTGCTGGAATTTTGCTAAAAGCGGCGTAAAACCACACCCTCTTACTATTTGGGAGCAATTAAACCCGGCATCCCCAAAGGCCATCAAGGTTTCTGATTTATGACGGCGAAAAGAACCTGCAGAGGCTGCTGGCTTATATGATTATTATCACTTGCAACAGATCATCCGGAATTCACAGATTCTTGTCAAGATGTCCTACCATGTTATCATTGTTTATGTGGCAGAAGGTGGCCGGTACAGACAACTCACGTAATACCACTACACACTGCTTGAGGCAGGGTTATATAGGGAGCGGAGTAAGTAATATATGGACTGCGTTGCAATGACACTCAAGCATCAACACAACTAGCAACAATGAAACCAATCTGTTGACTCTAGATCCGTCTCTTAGATTTCAGCTGGGATTCCTTTAAGAATAGAAGGGACATACAGGGTTAGAAATTATCCTGAAGACATTAACTAGACCTACCGGTAATAGTGATGACCAATCTCATTAAAATCAGATCTAAGTTTTCGCTGCCGCTTTTTCCCACAACAGCTTTATATTCTACAAGTCATAGGTACATTCAACACATAGATGGCCTGACTCGAGCTAGAGGACAAGTATCAATGTCTACCTCTGAGCCAACACTCTATTTAACAGCTTTATATTCTACAAGTCATAGGTACCTTTAACACATAGATGGCCTGACTCGAGCTAGAGGACAAGTATCAATGTCTACCCCTGAGCCAACACTCTATTTAACAGCTTTATATTCTACAAGCCATAGGTACCTTCAACACATAGATGGCCTGACTCGAGCTAGAGGACAAGTATCAATGTCAATCCCTGAGCCAACACTCTATTTAACAGCTTTATATTCTACAAGTCATAGGTACCTTCAACACATAGATGGCCTGACTCGAGCTAGAGGACAAGTATCAATGTCTACCCCTGAGCCAACACTCTATTTAACAGCTTTATATTCTACAGCCATAGGTACCTTCAACACATAGATGGCCTGACTCGAGCTAGAGGACAAGTATCAATGTCTACCCCTGAGCCAACACTCTATTTAACAGCTTTATATTCTACAAGCCATAGGTACCTCCAACACATAGATGGCCTGACTCGAGCTAGAGGACAAGTATCAATGTCTACCCCTGAGCCAACACTCTATTTACCGGTATGTGTGATTAGGGTGATTATATCAGTGTTTATTCTAGAGCATGGCATCCGGCATGTTTGCGTCTATTTTAAATATGACAAAAGAAATATCACCTTGGTGATGCAGAAGGGTGCATAGTTTCCAATCATGCCATTTAAAAAGAATATTGTGTCATAACATGAATTTATAGCATAATCGTTTGTTAGAGTGATCACTTGTCTGTTTTGGAACTTATCAGTGTGTATACTATATGTCACAAAGCCAGTTCCATTACAGTCTGTGCCCAAAGACTTTGAGTCTTCTAGCCTGAACTTGGCACTTAGCCCCATTTTTCAGTAGATTTTAGTGTTATTATTTGGACAAAACCAAACAGAATGTTACTAGACAATGGCTTCAGACTAACAACTAAAGTCGCAGAGCTCCATTACATTGCATGATGCCTTCATTAACATCACAGCTTTGAGCACAGGGAATGATATGTCAACATTTGGACCACCAGGTTAAAATTCGCTACAGACATTAATCATGATTAATTGACAAAATATTAGAGGTGACAAGGCCTTTTTTTTCTGCAAATCAAATTATGGAAACTTATGGAGATGTGGCGATTCAAGCATAACTTTGTCAAGTGCCACAGTCAAATCATGATTTTAAAAAGTCAGTGAGCTAAACAGCTAGTCCGGGAGTGAGCCGAGATCGCTCTGCTTTCACTATTGGGACGGTTTATTCCGGGACAAATGGATGCCGTAGTTTCCTTGGAAAATTCTTCTAAAAATAACCCCATTGTGAAAAATGAACCTCCACTTATATTTCTGTCATACCACCTAATATATATACTTTTTGTTGCAAGAAAAAAGATAATTGGATCCAAGTACCTTGTAAGTATAGTAAGTATAGTCGTTTATCATGTTTATGTATTTCATTCTGTTGTTGACACAATCCTTTAAGAATAACAATGTGCAAAGACACACTAAGTGCCACCATGGCATATTTTAAAGGTGCTCAATTTGAAAATATAATATGTGAAGTTTGTTTCCTAAAATGAACTCCAGTATAGTCTGAAAACCCAGCATGCTCCACTTTATAACATAATCAAAGAATGTGATTTTTAATAAAAAGTGACTACAATACCTTTTCCTTGAGTTTCTCCACGTCAACATATTTGAAGGGATCTCCATCTATAAAGTCTTCCCCCTCACTCTCCTCTTGCTTCTCCTCAATGCCCAGCCTCTTCCTCTCCTCTTCCTCCTTGCGTTCCCTGCAGCAGACACAATTCAATCAGCGCCGGCTATTTTCATATTTTACCATGCTTACTAGCTGTAAAGGCTAAACCAGTTCTCCAGCACCAACAGACTACAGAGTTCACGAACACTGTAATCAGCAGCTACCCTAGTTAGATCACAGTTAAAGAATACACAAAGAAAATAACAGCTTCTCTCAATCTGTCCCCAAGCAATCTGCTAAATATAAAATCTCTAATATGCTATAAGAGGATTCACAATTAAGATTCATAAGGTCCATAAGGACCAAAATTAAAGACAGCGGGAGCTTCTTTAGCAGAAAACTCATATGATTGTGAGTTCCAGTTATATAATGGCATGTCAGCTTAATATCGGAGGAAAGCCTGAAGTCTCAGAAGTTTAACACCTTGGTGAAACCCATGTGCATGGGTATGGAGCTAAGAAACAAAATCATGGTGAACCGGAATTGAACCAAACCACGATCATAGGTTCCTGGCATGCCCAAGGGATGCAACTCTGCACTGCGAATTGCAGCGCCTCAGATGGCTTGGCAACCCGAGGCCCCTTGAATGGCCTCAAGTTGGTCAGGTGATATGGATACACAATATACTGACTCTGAACTGACTAGTCCGAGCTGACCAGTCCTTGTTTCATCCCTTTAATGCCGAGCAGGGCAACAAGTATCATCTTTTAGCATCTTTTGGTATGACATGACTAGGGATCGAACCAACAACCTTCCACTTTCTGGGGCAGACGCTCTATCCACTAGACCATAGATGCAGTCCTGTTACCACAGGGTGACTTAATCTATAACACTGTTTTAATTAGAAATGAGACAGTGTCATGTGAAAAACAAAATGTTTTCACTGAAACCTATAAAGTGACTATAATGCCATAGTATTATCTCCACAACAAAACAACCACTAACAGAAAGGGCACATTGACATACCAGCATTTCAGCAGACAATACCTCAACAGTGGTTCAGGGTTCACTTACCTCTCTTCTTTTATTTTGCGAACACGTTCTCTCCGAGCCGCTAGCTCTATTTTCTCCTTTTCCTTTTCCTCTGCCATATCCTTGTCTACTCGGGTCTTCAGAGGGTCAAAGTTCTTCTCAATCATATCACACAGCCACTGCATGCCCTCTTTAATTGCAGGGTCCATCTTGCGTCCCGTCCCCTTCACAGCTGAGCAGGATTCCTACACAAAACCAGTTTGAGAGATAGATTTACAAGCAACATAGCGCAGCTATTTTGTCTCACTGAATGAGCTGACACAGTTTAAATCAACCTTTATGAAAATATTGTAGTTTTCCAAGACACTGGTGGTGATAAGTGCATTTTTTTTAAGGAGAAAGAGTGAGTGAGTGAGTTGGGTTTAACGCCGCTTTTAACAGTATTCCAGCTATATCGCGGTGTGTCAGCTTAATGTGGGAGGCAAGCCTGATGTGATGCAGGTCGCAGCGTCTTAGATGACTGGGCCACCCACGCCCCCTAAAGGAGAAAGAAATTATTACACTCACATGAGTGTCATACTGAGTTTACGAGATTTGTGTAAGAAGCCATGTATTACCCTTGCTCTCGCTTGGTAATACAAGAATTCTGATACTCGTTTCGTAAAATCAGTATGACACACATGCTCGTACAGTAATCTGAAAGATGTATAGTATATAGACGTATCTATATACATCTTTGGTAATCTCTATAAATAGCAGGACACAACAGGACACAAACAGAGTATCAAGATCTAACAGCCAGTACAACTAGGGGATACTATAGAAAGGTGACCTACAATTCTGCATGGAGTCTTGTGTAGGTTGACCCAGTTGGAGAGATCGAGTTGTTCACAGATGTCCACCTCGTCCACAGCGTCTTCCTTGTCCTGTTTGTTGGCCAGCCTAGAGCAGAGAAGATCATTTTAGGGTGGTAACCATGGTAACAATATACAGTCAAGTCCCGTTAATCCGACATTGTTGGTTGCATATGATTATGTCGGATTAATGAGTATGTCGAATAAACGAAATTAGGTGGTATCAAAGTTCGTGATCGAAAATTGGACAACTACACGATAGATATTGATACGAACACGTAATAAAAAAAGGAAAAAAGAAATATTCATATTGTAGTGTTACATTGTTAGCAGAATATGTTTTCTAATCATGCAACCTCTAAAGTTTAACACAAAACTACTGTTACGGATTGTATAACTGTTTCAAAATACTTTTTAAAGCATAGTTTGGAATGGAAGTCGCTAATTTGAAACTAGTGCCGCAATGCTTAAGCAAGCTGCTTTTTTAGTGGCTAATGTCGACTTCCTGTTAGTAATGTCATTGATCAGTCAAAGTTCACGAAAGGTTGTCCTCAGCGGTAGCACGAACTTGTATCCGATTTTAATGAGATTGAGGCAATCGAGGCATGTGATTAAGCCTGTTTTGTTTATTTAAAGCAGCAATTGTTTATTGTTACGCAAGTTTATCTCTGCAGCCGTTGAAATATGCCGCTACTCGTCGACTCGTCTTGCATCAAAACACGGGACTGTGTACTCGTGGGCAGATGACCATGGAGTACGCTGATCACTGTGTCTGATTAACGAGACTGATTAATGAGTGATTTCAGCAATTCGTTGCAAATTAGGTATGTCGGAGTCGCAGTGCAAGACTGTCGGATTAACGGGTCTAAATAGCACTAATTAAATCGGTTCCCATCATTTGTGTCGATTGTCGGATAAACGAGTGTCGGATTCACGAGACTTGACTGTACCTTGTATCCAGGCGATACATGCCTTTATATGGTGATTGGTGAGGTCTAAAACTATAAGTTCCTTGTTTCCTGACTGACCCTAATTTGGAGCCCCTGACCACAAAGGTCTTTTTCATGTTTCTCAAGCTGCATCACAGCTTTTATCACCATGGTATTGTCCATATTGCCTCTAGTATACACAAATTGAACATCACTTCTATACATATATAAGATAGCTTCGCGATAAATCACCAAGGACAATGAAAAACAAAGCGTGGTTTATTTCACAATAAAACATTGTTCTATCATGACTCAAGAGATTCAATATGCCCTCGCAACTTGATGATATTGTATACTGGAGCATTGAGAACTGGTTCAGCATTATAGCCTCCAAATGCTTCAAGTCAATGAGGACTACCATCATCTGGTTTGTACTTGTCCTCAGCACAATTTAGTAGTCCCTCGCTAGAGGACTAGCATTAACTTTGAAGGCTTTACACACCATTAGAAATATTAACATATTGCTTTACTTCCACAACACACAGCATTTGTGTACAGGGAGGCATATCTGTGAAAAAAGACAATAAACTGTCCCAAATCTCAGTACACTATGACGTAGTACTGTCCTACTTAGGACATTTATCTTTTAAAGGTTAGAAATACATAGAGTTACCTCCCCTTCAAAGCTCTCCATGTGGAGAGTTATGGATGTTTCAATTTCTGCGCTTAGGGTGCTAACACCTGACAGTGCGATGCGATGCAAAACCAGAACAATGTCACTTGTATGCTTGTGACAATAGAGATATCTGTGTTTTCACAAAAACTACTTCAAACCATTCCTGTAATAAAATACATAGATTTAAAAGAAGCACTTGGGAAGATTACTACGACATGCAACAACTACTACATTGCTATTGCTACTTACACCAACACTGGCTTCCCTGCTATGTGATAATTAGCTATCAGTTTCTGAAAGCTTTCCTTCACTTCCTCAAGGCGCTCTGATGCAGTTGAATCGATCATGTAGACCACCCCATACAGTTCAGGGAGATATGTGGTCCACATGGCTCGTATCTGTGGTCCTCCCCCAAGGTCATACATCGTGATGTCGAACTTGTTGAATACAAACTTTTCAGAGTTGAAACCGACTGTTGGGGCGATGTCTTTGTCAAACTGTTCTGTGAATGTGAGGTAAAAAATATTAATCAAGTTTCAATTGATCTTTCTATTTCCCAATTCACAATATTTTCTGATTTCATTTTATACATAAACAATATTAATTAAGGAACATGGCCCATGTAGCCATAACACCATGTTTATATCCTGACTATAACAGTTTCCATAAAGTCAATATGATCTACCCTCTGCAAAGAATTTATGTGTCATACAAGAAGCAATTCTGAAAAGGTCAAATATATTTTAGTTGAAGAAAAACATCAATTTTGCATTTACATTAGTAGTGTTATGAATAGAACAGAACATAAGGTCAATTTTGCCTTACAGGGAAACAACACTCCAAACTCTCAGTTGTCTAGCTCGCGTTGTTTTAATTAGATTGTGTTATCACAAGATGCCATTCAGCATCAGCGAACCAACAAACTCTCAGAGTGAGGCACCTAATCACCAGCACACAAAGTCAGATTGTGCACAAAGGTTAGATCACTGACTTTATGTGCTGATGATTAGGTGCCTCACTGTGAGAGTGTTGGTTCGGATCCTGGATGGGACTCACTAGAAACTGTACTTAACTAAGAAAGTGTTATCCCAAATATAATATTTGTTCACTTTCTAAACAGCATTGTGTGTTCATGCTATGCTTTTGGTTATTATCATTTTAAACATGTATAGTAAACATTGCAACTAAAAGAACTTGATATTAGAATATATTACTCAGAGAAAGAAATTGGCACTAGTCTTATAGTCCTTGCCAACTGCCCAATAGTTAAGGTATGATAAGGACGAGAAGAAATTTGCCATTTATCATTATGTTTATAAGGGGTTTGATAATTCATCTGATCATTGCATCAAAATTCTTTGCAGTCATATTTATTGAGTATTTTTTAACCAAATCACCGGTAGATTGGTAGAAAATGTGTGTACAGCTGATTGCTCTTTCCGGCTTAGTTTACGAGAAAGTACTATATAATCTTTATTTCTGCATTTTGCACAATGCCTAGTAGAACAGAAAATCTTTATTGGTCTGGAAATTGTACTTAAAAATCTAACAGTCATCTCACCTCCAATCAGCACTTTTGTTGTTGTTGACTTGCCAGCGCAGTCGAGACCCAAGAAAGCCAGTGTAATTGGCCTAAAACATTCAAAAGTAATCAAAACAATGATCATGTTTATTTAATCACTATAAATCAATGATCATGATACAGTGATTTGTTAGATTTCTATGTTTGTTGTTTAACACTGCACTCAGCAATACTCCAGCTATAAATATGCTGTCTGCGCTAAACACTATTGACTACAAAAGGCCAAATTTGACATCATTTTCCAGAAAGTGTTGTTATTGTGTGGACTATTATTAGCTGAGATTCTTAGACTATGTACAGTGATCTACATTCGGCTTAAGACAAGTGGTAAAAATTACAGATCGTGCCCAAACCATTTAGCTGCCTCTTAAAACAATTACCGTATTCGACGTAATAAGCTTACGGCTCTAATAAGCGCCCACGGCGATATTTGCTAATATATTGGCTAGTGAACAATCCCAATCAGCCACCCTTCCTATTGATCAATGTACACAAGACTTATTTATTTGTGTATAATATGCACTCGTGTGTTATATCACCCTTAATTATGGGCAATTAAATTCTTGAAAAAAATATCTGTCGTATGTAAACATTTCAGGCTGTTAGCATAAACCACGAAATTTACGATCTTTCAACTCAAAATAATATTCTAATAAGCGCCCCCTATTTCTAATTTTGAGAGCGCCCTGGGTGCTTATTACATTGAATACGGTAGCACAGTCAGTAGCCCTTACCAATGACTGAACCTATAGTGTCGCTGAAGGGGTCGTTGTTGCCACAGGTACTGCAGATATGTACCCGAGGCACTTTTCTGCTTTCGCATAAAATGTTTCTCTCGGTATTTCCTTTCCATAAATGGATGGGAACTGTCATAACAGCACATTTAGAATACAGTACCACAACTTCTAGTGAGGACGATCTCTGTCGTAGGGCACGTGTCTCAAAGACAAGCGACCAGTCTTTGTGAGAATCTGTCAGACGCAAACTCGGATTGTTGGCACGACAGCTAGCCGACTGAGCTACATCCGCACAGTAAATTTGAGCACAAATTTACCAAGGCATCCAGGCATCAGACGTTGAACTTGCCGGTACACATGAATGACATGGTATTTAATAATTTGTCTGGTGATTTTTGTGACAGAAAAGTGTCTTAGGGAACACTGTAAGGATAATGTGGATAAGCATGGCTAATGATGCCACAAGGGTGAGTCCACTTTTTAATCATTAATGAATGTAGCGGATGAAAGTGGCTTGTGTGAATGTTCCAGGATAGTTTCCAGTAGCCAAAATATTCAACACAAAACCATTACATGCTGCTTTCTCGACGTTTTTGTGTGAAAAATATTAGGAGCAACTATAGAATCTATAAAAGCCACTAAACGGGTACCTAACCCTAATGATCGTCAAGGGGGGATTGATCGTAAAGGGGATCCATGGGCTTAGGATAGAGGTCGGGGAAACTACCCTAACATCGACAATAATTGGATATGTTCAGTGCCAATACAATATACCTAATAACTTGAAAATTAATTAATCGAAAAAATAATATATGTTTATTAGTTCCCATTTATAATCATTTTAGCCACTTGAATTACAAAAAAAAAATCGAAATAAAAAATATGTTGAAAATAAAAGTGCTTTCATAAACTAGTGCTTGCTATAAAATGTGTCACTGCAGGCTACATTTATTAACAAATATTCAAAACTTTTCACATTTTGTGTAGAGATGATGATAGATCACTGAGAGGAGCTTATGCACACTCAATGACCCCTGACGTCACAGGGAATTGTTATGCCGGTGTGACTGGCAACAAAATACTACAAATTATGTCAAAGGGTATTGTGACAAGATTGAAAAGTTGATGGTACTGTATCTTAAGGTAGTCTATACTCTAATATTCCGCAGTACACAGCATTATCCAGCATGCACTCGTAATCAGGCGAACTAGAACTAAAACATAAACCGGTTTCGGGTTGAGATATATGGACTTGTCGCCCGTTTAGGGTATCAGGTAGGCCTACCTTTCTGTATTCTGATTTTTTGGCTAGGGTACCTGGTGCACATATCTCAAGAACTTGTACCGACAACGACCACTTCAGCTATAGTATCTATCTTGGTATTGGACAAGATTAACAATTCTGTAAACTTATCCTAATGCAAGATCAAATTATGAATATTCATACACATTCTACTGTAGCAAGAAGACTGCTACTGATATTGGAATTTATATTTTCTTTATGTTTGTTTTGTTTGTTTGTTGTTTAACGCCGCACTCAGCAATATTCCAGCTATATGACGGCGGTCTGTAAATAATCGAGTCTGGAGCAGACAGTCCATCATATTTTCTTTATGACATAGAAGGCACGAGACTATTATCTAGTTTTGAATTATTTCCTTCTCGGATTTCAAATCAAGGTTAAGATATAAAGACAATACCTTTTGGGCTCCCGGCGCTTCTTGATACATGATACGCAGTTTCCCATGAGGCTGAACATCAGGCCTAGTGATTATCCGTTGCTGTGTTACTTCTTGTCAAAATCAGTTCTGAAGAAGACATCAGCCCGATCAGGCGAAATCAGTTTGATCAATCAGTCGTGTTAAGCAAGGTCCGTTAGTTATCTAATCGCCGCTAACTGAGTTTTGGGGTAACCAAATCAGATTAATGACCTAATCATCTGTAACTTGGCTACTCAATGTCGGTGGACTCAATGATGCCGCCATGTTGGTAACCATTTGTTTGGATCAGTTTACAAAATGTCAGACGAGCTCTTTGCAGCGCAGTTACTTCAGGGCTCAGTGTTAAAACGTCGCTAACAACGCTGTGAAGAGTTTTAATAAAATGACGAAAACCGAGCAGGTTTCGAATAAAAGTCGCTGAATTTTCAAAAAGGTTACCAATACAGGTTTTCTATACCCACACGAAGATATTCCTTTTGTAGTAATGATAATTATTAAATACGTCTGCCTGGGTACATCGTTATTGAAAGGAAAAGCACTAAATGTACTCCTCATGAACCGGAAGCACGGTGGCCGAGTGGTTAAGGCGTTGGACTTAAGATCCAATGGACGTATGTCCGCGTGGGTTCGAACCCCACCCGTGCTAGCTAATATTTTGTTCGTAATAAATACTATCATATTATCACATTCATTTTAGTCCAGACTTCAACAAACGTACATGATTTCGGATCAGCACTTATCAATCGGTAAAACTTTCAGTTGTGTTTGTTTCTTAATGTTTTAAAAATGAGTTTACACCTTAGATGAATATGAATTAATTTTGGAAAAAATCTGGAGTCATTTGGATATGAAATATGTCGGTGGTCCTGAGAAGTTTATTAGAACGATAGATTCAACAAGACCAGCATGCTACATGCTTTTTTCCGACAGTGCACGTGGGTCACTTGGTCTTCAGGTCTCTGGACAAGGTGGCAGTGAGCGTATTCCCTTGTTACCTGAAGCGACTAGAGTCTTTGGGGATGATAATTGTGGACTTTGGGGCGTAATTCCATGGGAAGTACATGCGTTGTCAATTTGTTCAAAGTTTGTTTTATTATCGTTCGGTTTAACGTGAAATGTGTTGTAGACATGGGGTCTATTTTTGAAGAAGCCTTGGGTTTTGGTTTTGTTTGCTATCTACTACAAGTCATTTACAGTAATTAGAGGGATCCTTACAGCCACTAAAGTTGTATTAATATACAACTGCTTCCAATAACAATAGCGGCCGTTGTACAATATGTATATGTTTATTACCCATAGAGTTAGAAATAGTTCATAAAAATCGTATGTGCCCCAGTGCAAATATTACTTCAACACACCAGTGTACTGTTTACGTCATCCGGACGGCATTGGTGACGTCAATTGGAATCTTATTGTGACACAAGGTTGGAATGACGACACACTAGAAACGACGTCATCAAGATTGTTGATGTTTTTCGACAATTGGGGTTTTCTAAGACGGAGGTCGTGATCAGTGCATTCTTCTAAAGGATGAAGAAAATCATGGGTACTAACGAAATTATTACACTCGCATGTGTGTCATACTGAGTTTACGACTTCTGACAGTCGTTGCGTAAAATCAGTATGACACACATGGTCGTATACATGTGATCATCTCTAAAAATACTTCAACTAATGTGTAGTAGTATCATAATCTGTGATTTTATCGTGTTATGTTTTAATGTTGACATTTATTGTAAATACGCGTTTAGAAGTGTACACTGGCTTATATTTATAATAGGCTTGACATCACTTTTAACAGTATGAATATTATGTATTAAAAATGATGTAACGTGAGACTTACAGGACGTTGTTCATGTATTTATTTCGGTTATTCGTTGTTTTGTATCAAGCTTTTCTTTCAAAAAAGTTTCAAATGTCGCTCCTCGAGACCTCTCCGTTGCGTTGGTTTACAGCAGGTTAAAAAAAGGCATCTTTGCTTCCATAAGCTGGCCAAGATCAGGCCCCTATATCATTGTAAAACATAGCATAACAATCAGGAGTTATATCAACTGCTGAACGGGTGCCTTTCGCAATTCAGGAAGTAAACTTTCAGTTGTTGGGTTTTTACTGGCTTCAACCGAGGATAAGGTTTGTGTCCAGTGCCAACCTAAAAACGTTTCAATATTTCGTTAAGTAAGATAAATCAGTTTATACCTTCTCACTTTAAAGTGCAAACGTAAGTATGTTAAATTTTGTTTCAAGAGTATGGTTCTCAAATATTATTGTACAGCGTTTGGAGGTTTTGCACAAATATCAAGCATTTCACGTATACATCAAACAAATAAGGTATTGCTGTATGGGTAATTTTAATCATTTCGTTTTCCGTTTCCGTTTTTTACAGCCTCTTGTAAGATGACCGAGGGTTACTAACCTACCATTATTAACAGACTTCAAACGTCCAGTTACCTCCCTTGTCTCGGGAAGAGAACAATGTAGTCGAAAATATGAGAACTGTTTACGATACTTGTGTTGTTCCAAACATTTTTTACATCACAATTTCACTTATGCCTAGTTATGTCTTAATTAAATTAATTACTAACTTCAGTGTGTTTAGATTTACCCTAATTTGTGCGAGTATTTACCCTCTGCCTGTCACATAAAAAATAACCTGTGTACTATTGCTGTGCCGACCAGTCCTTGTTTTATCCCCTTAATGCCGAGCGCCAGACAGGTTAATAAGTACTATCTTTCAAAGTCGTTTGGTATGACGCAGCCGGGGATTGAACCCCGACATTCCACTACCACCAGGGCCCCGTTCCTCAAAGCGATCTTAGCACTGAGGTGATCGTAAGTCCCATACTTTAACATAGGCTTATGATCAACGTAGCACTAAGATAGCTTTGTGGAACGGGGCCCTGGACGCACGTCCCCGGCACGGGAACTTTGTGGTGTGTAGGGTCATGTACTTGCTGCATGAAGGTGGACCTGTAGTCACATATCAGGAGAACACATCTTAGCTTCACATGGGCTTTCCACCATCTGTTCAAACAATCAGCCAGACTTGCAACAGACCTGCATTTGATATTGCTAGACTATTGTAAACATGGTAAACGGAAAAGAAATATCTTGATGAGGTGATTTTATAAAAGGTTCCACATATTGTGTATTGTGATGTATTCCAAGGTGTTCTATTTGAGCCATGTGTCTATACTACTCAAAAGAAATTAAGGATCACCTGATTCTTTCATCTAACAATAGTTAATCTCTCATGCCATGACAGATTAACATTACCAATATCAAAGAATCGGGTGATCCTTAACTTCTTTTGACTAGTATATGTTAACAGAAGATTTACTAAGCTATTTCACAGCCAAACAGTTGATAATTGAATAAAAACAATCATGACAAATTTGATAACATATTACCATATATTTTGAATGTAGCTAAGTCAGGCCATGGTTATATATAAGCTCTTAATCCACAGATTTCGGTTTAAAGGTTACGGTGCAGAAATAATTAAGAACCCTGATTACTAACTTAATAATGAGCAAGATTATTATATTACCTTATTACAATATCTGAAGATTGACTTGAATGTGTCAATTAACACTTATTGTGTCAATTAACTTATTGTACAAAAACTATGAACATGTGTAATAATCAGTATTAATTCAATAAGGCTGAACAGTGAGCTGGTAGTAAATCAAGGATGTAGACCTGAGATGGATTCAGAGTCATAATACCAGTATAGCACTTCACAAGTCAAAATCCAAAGTTTAATCAGAGTATCAAAACATATTTCCAGATATATAAATTTCTGAATATGAATAAATATGCAGTCAGATATCAGTACATAATAGCAATTTAGTCATCATAGTTTAATTTTCAGAATTTCCCCTCAAATGTTTCTCTGCTAAGACTGCATACAAAGAAAACTGATTTTGTGTTGCCTATGGTGAAATGTTTTTTGTTTGTTTATTTGTTGTTTAATGCCGCACTCAACAATATTCCAGCTTTATGACGGCGGTCTGTAAATAATAAAATCTGGACCAGACAATCCAGCGATTGATATCATGAGCATTGATCCACACAATTGGGATCGATGACATGCATCAACCAAGTAAGCAAGCCTGACCACCCGATCCCGTTAGTCGCCTGTTACGGCAAGCAGTCGCCTTTTTACAGCAAGCATGGGTTGCTGAAGACCTATTCTACCCCGGATCTTCATGGGTCTCATGGTGAAGTGTGCCATTCTGCACCATTTGCTTAGTTATCAGTTTGTATGAACATTTAATAAACAAACTACTGCGGCCGGAATGATTCATGTATAATTCATAAAAGAGAGCTACTTAGGTGCATGCCCCTATATGGTGGTAAAGGTCATGATGCCAACACTAATGTATGCAATAGATGATTTCTTTCACATTTCAACATTTGAGTTAAAATATTGGAACTAATGAAAATCTTGGAAAAGAGTTGACCTGTTGCAAATAAATACACCTCTGAAGTTAACCAGCATAAACATAATCTTCCCGAGGCAAAGGGAGTTAACTGACCATAAAAGTCCAGTTTCCACCCTTGCCGAACAGTGGCTATTATGAATTATGTCCCTTCTATGCCTCTCCTATGAACCAATGAAATTCCACCTCTCGTATAACTTGTCTTTGCTTCAAACAAAATGGCGGCGCCAAGTCAAGACGACCTGATCGATAATCAATATCTATATTGTGATAAAACTGGTCTTGAATCCTGAAGTGAATCAAATCACGCGAGCACCTTGATAAAAAACACGAAAAGATTTTGAAAATATCTGTTGACAACGAGTTGGTGCACATGCTTTGTAAATCCTGCAATCGACCGAAATCTGCATGACGGTTTAAGAACCGGATTTCGATTTCATTGCGCAATTATGATTGGACTATGCATAGTCCAGCCAAACTGTAACTCCATAATACCAGCCTGGTTCGGCAAGGGTGGAAACTGGACTTTTATAGTCAGTTAACTCTCTTGCCTCGGGAAGATGGCGTTAACATTGAACTTGTAGAATCAGAATGAAGTACATAATAGCATTTAAAACCCTTTTTGGTCAGCACCACTGGTCTAGTAGAGATCCAACAGGACCGGTAGATTTGTTTACTGACAAATTTTGATCAGAGTCAAAACACTGTTCATGGGGGATCAGTTTTCTACTTAAATGCCAAATTTTATCAATTGTGTACAAATATCATAGAATCATTATGAAATATTCTCCACTGGAAAATCTATCCTAAATGATTCTGGGTGATGCAACTATTGTACACATTATATTATTTTATAGATTTGCATAGTTCAGTCAGCAATATTCTGCCTAAATTCCTGCAACTTCTAGGCCCGGTAGACAAAATGGATGATAGCATGCACAACAAGCAGGGCATGGTGATACACTGCGACCATCATATACTCCATAGTCAGGTCTTACAGGTCTGTGCGCATATGCTTGCATTTATAGTTGTTTGGTTTGTTTTTTGTTTAACGCCGAACTCAGCAATATTCCAGCTATATGACGACGGTCTGTAAATAATTGAGTCTGGACCAGACAATTCAGTGACATCATGAGCATCAATCCACGCAATTGGGATACGATGACATGCATCCACCAAGTCCGCGAGCCTGACCACCCGACCCTGTTACTCGTCTTTTACGACAAGCATAGTCACCTTTTACGGCAAGCATGGGTCGCTGAAGACCTATTCTACCCCGGATCTTCACGGGTCAATTCATAGTGTGCCATATTCAATTCACCAAGTGAATGCTCATGGCGCTACTTTATTTTCCCTGTCAATGCATCAGTGTCCACTCAATTTTCATTCTCTGCTCCCTGGGGAGTATACAACTCAAGCTGCCTGTGAGGCACAAGAAGGTTAACAGTCACCATCTCATCCTACCGGGTACCCACCCATTGCTGGGTGAACAGAGCCATATTTCAAGAGATATTCCAGCAATATCGTGGCGGGGGACACCAGAAACTGAGCTTCACATATTGTGCCCATGTGGAGAATCAAACCCGGGTCTTCAGTGTGACAAGTGAATGCTTTAACGGTTAAGTTTAACCACTAGGCTACCCTACTGCCCAGGACCCGTGAAGATTCGGGGGTAGAATAGGTCTTCAGCAACCGATGCTTGCCGTAAAAGGTAACTATGCTTGTCGTAAAAGGCGACTAAAGGGATCGGGTGGTCATGCTCGCTGACTTGGTTGATGCATGTCATCGATCCCAATTGCGTGGATCGATGCTCAGGATATCAATCACTGGATTGTCTGGTCCAGACTCGATTATTTATGGACCCCTATCATATAGCTTGAATATTGCTGAGTGCGGCATTAAACAACAAACCAACAACCCTACCGCCCAGCATATTTTCGACAAAGTCTCTTGCCAAAGGTGACACATGCTTCCTGGAGACAAATAACAAGGCAACTCTGTTCAGTACCATGAAAAACCTCGAACAACTTGTGTTTCCCTTCACCATACAAACTGACAGACTTTCTTATTTCAAAAATTTATTCAGCAAAGTAAAGTATTGCAATATGTTGCATAGTAAGTCTCACAGAGTATGAGCTGAAGCTGACTTCACAAGGGCATTGTACGCACATGGAAATAAATTATTTGTCAACAATTTCCTACAGTAAACATATTGCTTCACTGGCACTAATTGGACTACTTCCAACCACTGATGGATAAAATTCTACATAAAACACACAAATAACAAACATTTTCGAAAAAATATCAACAACAAATTTCACTGTTGCCATGGTTACATAGATAATGGACATGATGTTGCAGTGCTGCAGGAAACACAAGTGCTATTCTTGGCCTCTCGATTGTCTTTATTGTGACAGTCAGATGATAAATTACACTCACACCTTCCCATGCTCCCGGACACTGATACAAAATGAGATGAACAGAAAGAGAAAGAGACTAAAAATAAAATCTAAAGACGCATTGTTTATAGCTCATCGGAAGTTTTCTGTTTACTGAAATATTTCTGGGACTCTTTTGGATTTGGGATGATCTGTAAAAGAAGAAACAAACAAAACTGAAATGTGTGCACAAATTGTGTGAATGGCGGGTTCTACCAGTTGAGCAGGATGTGCCTTCCCTTTTTGCGGCGATCCATTTATATATTTATCATCACTATTTTGCCTCTTACGCACTATGGAATTGGGTTCAGCAGACAATTGAGACTAATGATTTACTGGCGTTGACATTTTATATATTTCAATACCAGAAATAAATACTAGAAAGTAGCACTTGACCAGAACTCCTCGATACGAGTTGTCTTCAATTTTTCAGACATTTACAGATTCACAATTTGAAAGATTTTAGAATCCGCAGCAAAGGAAAGACACTGAAAGACTTCAAATCAACATAATTCCTTCATCATGTTCATACAAGTCATCAGTTCCAAACAATTAGTCTGGCTCCAAGGATTACCTCCCTTCCCCTATCGCTATAGTTACATGTTCATATTATTCCCTATACTGCTGTACTGACCGTATCACTGCCTGGCTTCCTTCAGGATTACCTCCCTTCCCCAATCGCTATAGTTACATGTTTGCGTTACCCGATATGTCCCACACTGCTGTACTGACCGTATCACTGCCTGGTTTCCTGCAAGATTACTTCCCTTCCCCAATCGCTATAGTTACATGTTTGCGTTACCCGATATGTTCCACACTGCTGTACTGACCGTATCACTGCCTGGCTTCCTGCAGGTTTACCTCCCTTCCCCAATCGCTATAGTTACATGCTTGCATTACCCAATATGTCCCACACTGCTATACTGACCGTATCACTGCCTGGCTTCCAGCCTGCGGGGCACACTTCTCCATGTTTGTCTGTGTACTGGAAGGCCTGAACAAGCCGAATGGTCTCGTCCACAGACCGACCCACAGGGAGATCATTCATGGTGACCTGGCGTAGGACTCCCTTGTTGTCAATGATGAACAGGCCTCTGAAATAACATGTTGGTCTGACTTTATTGACAGTCAGGACTACACAGGTCTTGGGACAGTCAGGACAACACAGGTTTGGTACAGTGATGAATACACAGGTTTTGGGACAGTCAGGACTACACAGGTTTTGGGACAGTCAGGACTACACAGGTTTTGGGACAGTCAGGACTACACAGGTTTTGGGACAGTCAGGGCCACACAATTTTGGGACAGTCAGGACTACACAGGTTTGGTACAGTGATGAATACACAGGTTTTGGGACAGTCAGGACTACACAGGTTTGGTACGGTGATGAATACACAGGTTTTGGGACAGTCAGGACTACACAGGTTCGGGACAGTCAGGACTATACAGGTTTGGGACAGTCAGGACTACACAGGTTTGGTACAGTGATGAATACACAGGTTTTGGGACAGTCAGGACTACACAGGTTTTGGGACAGTCAGGACTACACAGGTTTGGGACAGTCAGGACTACACAGGTTTGGTACAGTGATGAATACACAGGTTTTGTGACAGTCAGGACTACACAGGTTTGGTACAGTGATGAATACACAGGTTTTGGGACAGTCAGGACTACACAGGTTCGGGACAGTCAGGACTACACAGGTTTGGGACAGTCAGGATTACACAGGTTTGGGACAGTCAGGATTACACAGGTTTGGGACAGTCAGGATTACACAGGTTTGGTACAGTGATGAATACACAGGTTTTGGGACAGTCAGGACTACACAGGTTCGGGACAGTCAGGACTACACAGGTTTGGGACAGTCAGGATTACACAGGTTTCAGGACATGAGTTTTGGGACTATTTCAGTAGAATCATGGCCAGATAACCAAAAACAGACTCGTCACATGACTCATGCAGAGGACAAAACCAGGATCTTTGAGATATGAGTCAACACTACTGTTAGGTTACTTGCCCCTACATGTATTATTGCAGCGTCAACACGTCAAAGGTTGTTTGCACTATTTACACTCAAGACACTGGTCATTACTGTTTACAAACGAAAAAAGTAGGAAAAATTATTTGGGATGATAAATATAATCTCACCCTTGTGCTTTCCAAACTCAAATGTATCAAGACTCATTGATAAAGGTATTCTCAACTCATCTTGATATTTATTATCTCGGAAGACACTGTTTAGATACTCTAAACATTCAGAATAAAAATGTCTTTCAACCTACAGAATGCTTGATGTTGACAGTGACATTTCTAAACTTTAAAGGGCAACAGAGAAATGAAAACATTTCTGCTTGAACTTAGTTCTAGCAGCACCCTAGGTGACGACTGGTCTATCTGTTCTCACCAGACCCCTAGAGATAAACAAATCAATCAAGTGTAGTCACTTGCCTTAGTGTGTGACCAAGATCCTCCAGGTAGACACCGTAAGCCTTGGAGATGTCATGTGTGATGTCTGAGAGAAGTGGAATGTTGATGGCGCCCAAGCCGCCCTGGTCACGTGGAGTGTTGATCCTGAACAGAGTTATCTCCCTTATATCAAACAGCAAACACAGTTACTCGTTCCTGACTTGTCAGAATTTAAGTATAATACAAAAAGTACTTGAAATTAAATTGATTCAACCGAAAACATGTATATGTTCCCTCACCATAAAATAATGGCAGAGTTTAGTTCTTAGTTTTGTGAATGCGAGCATGACGTGTGTGATTGATTGAATTAAAAGTATATAAGTGAGTGAGTGAGTGACATTTTACGCTGCTTTTAGCAGTATTCCAGCAATATCATGGCGGGGACACCAGAAATGGGCTTCACAAATTGTACCCATGTCGGGAATCGAACCCGGGTCTATGGTGCGACGAGCAAACGCTTTAACGACTAGGCTACCCGACCTCCCAACAGTATTTAAGCCTTATGAAGGCTATGTAATACTTCTGGGCAGGTCTGGGCAAGCAAATCAGTGGTTGATAGCACAAGCAGCTGCCAACATCTTCAGGGCATATTACCAGTTCCCAATCCCATCTCAGCCAGAGTTCCATGTAGCCAGCATAGTACCCCTGCCACACAGGCCAGCGCCATGTGACAATTCATCAATTCTTACATAGTCCATTCAAGATATTGCAGGTGTTTCATTTTTGACGAGTCTTCACATTTAGATAAACCTATGTCATAGAATGGTTAACTTTCGATGAGAAAATACCCTAAAACGTGGAAAACTATTTCCATGTGTGTTGTTATCCTTTGTTTACATTGGTCGTACGGCTCCACATGCTGTCATCAAAGCCCTCGAGAGCTAGTGATATGATTTGTTTGTTTGTTTATTTGTTGTTTAACGCCGCATTCAGCAATATTCCAGCTATATGACGGCGGTCTGTAAATAATCAGGTCTGGACCAGATAATCCAGTGATTGACATCATGAACATCGATCCACACAATTGGGATCAATGACATGCATCAACCAAGTCGACGAGCCTGTCCACCCGACCCCGTTAGTCGCCTTTTACGGCAAGCATGGGTTGCTGAAGACCTATTCTACCCCGGATCTTCACACGTCGCTAGTGATATGACCACTGTGATGTATAAAGATATACTGTCAAGCAATTTACAGTATTGTCATTTTTGCAGTTGTAGCACATAGTAGCACATCGATATAATAATGCAAAACGATATGTAAACCGGCTAGTCGGTTCTGATTTCAGAATAAGCGTGTTTGTTAACAAACAAGAGAAAAGTCTGGTCACAGGATATGCAAATTAGCCTGTGGAGTGATGCTAAGTCACCCCTGCGCCGGAGTATGGGAAACCTATTCTGACAAGGAGTGCCCATGAGGGGATGGGAAACAAGCTGACAAAGCCTGCCCCAGCCTGCAATGAAAGGCCGATGCTGCCTGATCCCCTTCACAGCATCAGCATGATGTTACATACCAGGCGAGGTGAGTGAACTGCGAGTCCACCGAGCATGCTACCACTTCCGTGTTAATCTTCCTGAACTCGGCTACCCGGTCACTGAAGGCGATGATCTCAGTTGGACACACGAACGTGCTGTCACAGAGAAGACAAAGAGTCAAACAAGCTGTAACACTGCACATGTTTATAAACATACTTAGCTCCATACTTGGCAATGTACTTACCTCGATTTTGGTGGAGTGAGTTTTTTACGCCACTGTTAGCAATATCCAGCAATATCATGGTGGGGGGACACCAGAAATGGGCTTCACTCATTGTACCCATGTGGGGAATCAACCCAGGTATTTGACGAGACGAGCAAATGCTTTAAACACTACCCCCAACCCCATCCACCCCGATCTCCAGGGATGCAACTAGGCCGAGTCAGTCTGTCTAATGTTAGAGTATCAAGCTTCCTAGGGGTTGTCTTAATATGTTAGCTGTATTCAGGCTAGTAACAGTTGCACAAGTTTACATCCCTGCACATATTTTGAACTGACACTATAATATGATGTGAGTGAGTGCGTGAGTATTGTTTTACGCCGCTTTTAGCAATATTCCAGCAATATCATGGCAGGGGACACCAGAAATGGGCTTCACACATTGTACCCATGTCGGAAATTGAACCCGGGTCTTCGGCGTGACGAGCAATTGCTTCACACAGGTTTCAGCACAGGCTAATTAGACTTGTGGCAGCTGTATTACAAGTATTTTTCAGGATAATTGACAAAATCATTTCAAACAGTGATTGCTATGTACTTTTATCAATCTGGTTTCTGATTAAACAAGAATATGGTGGCTAATTTCCACTAAGTATTACACAGACGGGAACTTACAAGTCAAGTGGGTAGAAAAAGAAGACGAGGTATTTCCCCTTGTAGTCGGATAGTTTGATGTCCTTAAACTCCCCCTTGATCACAGCTGTACCGTTCCAGTCAGGAGCCGGCTTTGAGACTGGAAACAAACACATCAACATCTCAGCTGGATCAGTTTACAAACATGCAAAAAAAAACGGGTTAGAATTGGTCTTCAGCAACCCATGCTTGTCGTACAGGGTCCAGTGGTCAGACTCACTGACTTGGTTGATCCATGTCATCGTATCCCATAGCATGGATCGATGCTCATGATATCAATCACTTGATTGTGTGGTCCAGACTTGATTATTTAGAGACAGCAGTCATATACCTTCAACATTGCTGAGTGTGGCGTTCACAAAGTATATCATTGGTACCATTTGTAACACACATAGCATGTCTAGCTGTCTGATGCACCAAACAGCCCACATTCAGCTTTTAGACTTGATGCAGGTTAGATTTCTGCCTTGCAAGGTACAATGTGCATAAAGAAGATATGTAGACTTTAAATCTTTTCGCAATAAGCATGCAACATCATGAATAGTGAGTGCATTTGTTTAACACAAGGTCAGCAATGATCAAGCTATACCATCATGGCATGGTAACCTGTAAATAATTGAGTGGGACTGGACACTGTCTGACTGAAAGCATGAGCAAGCAAGGTGTGATGAAGTGGCATCAGTCAAGTCACAGAGCCTAACCAGCCAGTCCCCATTCTAATTAACTGATTTTGTTTATTAATAACATCACACTTAGCAATATTCCAGCTATATGATAGGCTTTAAGTCATCTCTAATGACATGCATGTGCTACTATTGATACAGGGCACAATTCCTAATTGGAATATCTTTGGGACTTTCTTGTCTATTTTTGGACTATTTTTGGACTATGGAGTGAGTGAGTGAGTGAGTGAGTGAGTGAGTGAGTGAGTGAGTGAGTGAGTGAGTGAGTGAGTGAGTGAGTGAGTGAGTGAGTGAGTGAGTGAGTGAGGTTTTACGCTGCTTTTAGGAATATTCCAGCAATATCACAGCGGGGGGACACCACAAATGGGCTTCACACATTGTACCGATGTGGTGAATCGAACCCGGGTCTTCGGCGTGGCAAGCAAACGCTTTAACCACAAGACTACCCCAATGCCCCTTTTGAACTATGGATAGGGACAACAAAATTACATCCTGCATCTATGGGAGTTGATGAGAAAACAATGCTTAGACAGTTAAAACAATTACCTAAACAGCCTGAGAAATTAGAGGACTATTACAAACATTTTTTAACTAGTCCTCACTGAATAATAGCCCTCAACAGCTACTAGTCAGTCATTGCATTGTCACTAGTCCACTGAATTATAGCCCTCAACGGCTACTAGTCGGTCATTGGATTGTCACTAGTCCACTGAATTATAGCCCTCAACAGCTACTAGTCAGTCATTGGATTGTCACTATTCGTCACTGAATTATAGCCCTCAACAGCTACTAGTCAGCCATCGGATTGTCACTAGTCCACTGAATTATAGCCCTCAACAGCTACTAGTCAGCCATCGGATTGTCACTAGTCCACTGAATTATAGCCCTCAACAGCTACTAGTCAGTCATTGGATTGTCACTATTCGTCACTGAATTATAGCCCTCAACAGCTACTAGTCGGTCATTGGATTGTCACCCGTCCTCTCTGAATTATAGCCCTCAACAGCTACTAGTCAGTCATTGGATTGTCACTAGTCCACTGAATTATAGCCCTCAACAGCTACTAGTCGGTCATTGGATTGTCACCCGTCCTCTCTGAATTATAGCCCTCAACAGCTACTAGTCAGCCATCGGATTGTCACTAGTCCACTGAATTATAGCCCTCAACAGCTACTAGTCAGTCATTGGATTGTCACTATTAGTCACTGAATTATAGCCCTCAACAGCTACTAGTCGGCCATTGGATTGTCAACAGTCCTCTCTGAATTATAGCCCTCAACAGCTACTAGTCGGTCATTGGATTGTCACTAGTCCACTGAATTATAGCCATCAACAGCTACTAGTCAGTCATTGGATTGTCACTATTCGTCACTGAATTATAGCCCTCAACAGCTACTAGTCAGCCATCGGATTGTCACTATTCCTCACGATTCGTCACTTAATTATAGCCCTCAACAGCTACTAGTCGGTCATTGGATTGTCACCCGTCCTCTCTGAATTATAGCCCTCAACAGCTACTAGTCAGTCATTGGATTGTCACTATTAGCCACTGAATTATAGCCCTCAACAGCCACTAGTCGGTCATTGGATTGTCACCCGTCCTCTCTTAATTATAGCCCTCAACAGCTACTAGTCGGTCATTAGATTGTCACTAGTCCACTGAATTATAGCCCTCAACAGCTACTAGTCAGTCATTGGATTGTCACTAGTCCACTGAATTATAGCCCTCAACAGCTACTAGTCAGCCATCGGATTGTCACTAGTCCACTGAATTATAGCCCTCAACAGCTACTAGTCAGTCATTGGATTGTCACTATTTGTCACTGAATTATAGCCCTCAACAGCTACTAGTCAGCCATCGGATTGTCACTAGTCCACTGAATTATAGCCCTCAACAGCTACTAGTCAGTCATTGGATTGTCACTATTCCTCACTATTCGTCACTGAATTATAGCCCTCAACAGCTACTAGTCGGTCATTGGATTGTCACCCGTCCTCTCTGAATTATAGCCCTCAACAGCTACTAGTCAGTCATTGGATTGTCACTATTCGTCACTGAATTATAGCCCTCAACAGCCACTAGTCAGTCATTGGATTGTCACCCTTCCTCTCTGAATTATAGCCCTCAACAGCTACTAGTCGGTCATTAGATTGTCACTAGTCCACTGAATTATAGCCCTCAACAGCTACTAGTCAGCCATCGGATTGTCACTAGTCCACTGAATTATAGCCCTCAACAGCTACTAGTCAGCCATCGGATTGTCACTAGTCCACTGAATTATAGCCCTCAACAGCTACTAGTCAGTCATTGGATTGTCACTATTCGTCACTGAATTATAGCCCTCAACAGCTACTAGTCGGTCATTGGATTGTCACTAGTCCACTGAATTATAGCCCTCAACAGCTACTAGTCGGTCATTGGATTGTCACTATTCGTCACTGAATTATAGCCCTCAACAGCTACTAGTCGGTCATTGGATTGTCACCAGTCCTCTCTGAATTATAGCCCTCAACAGCTACTAGTCAGTCATTGGATTGTCACTAGTCCACTGAATTATAGCCCTCAACAACTACTAGTCAGCCATCGGATTGTCACTAGTCCACTGAATTATAGCCCTCAACAGCTACTAGTCAGTCATTGGATTGTCACTATTCGTCACTGAATTATAGCCCTCAACAGCTACTAGTCGGTCATTGGATTGTCACCCGTCCTCTCTGAATTATAGCCCTCAACAGCTACTAGTCAGTCATTGGATTGTCACCCGTCCTCTCTGAATTATAGCCCTCAACAGCTACTAGTCGGTCATTGGATTGTCACCCGTCCTCTCTGAATTATAGCCCTCAACAGCTACTAGTCAGTCATTGGATTGTCACTCATCCTCAGCAAAATTAAGAAGTCTCTGGCTAGCTGAATAGCGTGAATTTCGATGGTTGCTTCACAGGGCTTGATTTAAGGACCTTGATCTGACATGCATCAGGTGCATGTTGACATAAAAACCAGGTTGCACCAAACAGAACCAGGTTGCACCCCAGTCTCATAAATTTATTAAAGCAGATCTGCTGCCAGGGATGCATTGGAGTGAAACGTAATCGGAACCCTCACGTACATAACCTTAAGTACCCACAGAGTGAAGACCTCCACCCTAAGAAAGCATGACATGACACAACAAGATGTAGTATGATAAATAAATAATAGAGGTATTGAGTGTGTTTAAAGATCGATCTTTTGTTGACAAAAGTAAGGTTTAGTCTGACTTAATTTCTTTTTGACATGCACTTAGTGCATGTAGACATATTATTATGTTGCATTTTCAGTAATAGACATGATAGATGGAACACTTGTGCATGTTATACATAGCTAAGTCGAACCCTGCTACATGTGTGATGTCCAACAATAACAGTCAACAGATACTAATTTTTATCCATCAAATCCATAACACAATGGTTGGTTTCACTGGTTTTGTAATAAAAACATTTCTGAACATAACATATCAATAAACTTTCATACAGTGACACATATGTTGCAGCATTATCAAGCAGTTTTACACGTATCAAAGTATCCAGCTGAGATTAATTGCCTTTGATTTGCAGATATTACACTAAGCCGACAATGACAGCTGAAATTAAGAGATATCGGTCTTCAACATGTCCACGTCCGCTAGCAATGTTCAATAGACATGGTACATCCAGATCCATGACATATAAGGTAACAATGGCCACAGCTGGTGGCTATAATTTGTATTTGTACCAGTATCAGAGATTTATCTTGGCATATTTTTGCCAAAAGTTGGTTCCAAGTTCTCTATAGAGGTTGCTAATAATTCCAAAATTCAATTTTAAAATAACAACTTTCCCAATTTTGGATTAACTTAAATGATATAACTTTGTAGCAATGTTAAACTTAGTATTTGGTTTGGAAGCATTGAATACAAGAACGTTCCAAAACTCAAATCGCTGGTCATATGATGATGGTGACTTGCAAAATAATTGACAAATTTCTGAATATTCACAGTATCTTAATAAAATTTCAAGAAAGTAGAAATCTATTCTAAAAACGACATAGCTAACCAACAAATTTATCAAAGCTGTTTTCAAACGAAAATAACAACCACCAAAATATTTGATCACTATGAGATTTCCTTCTAGTAAGAACATAGCATCATCCTTGAACCAGTATACATATTCAGTATCATGTTCACCATAACGAACATATTGTTGTCTTTATTTATTTACTGGTGACCAATTACTGGCTCGGAATAAAATTCGTTGCTGAGGTGAATCTACATAAAATATTGATGTAAAACTGCAAAGACCTGATCGCCCGCAATACCGCACTGTAAGCTATTCAGCTGTGACGGCGTGCGTCGTTACGCACATGACTTCCTCCTAGGCCTATCTGGGCCGGCGAACGCCTCATCATTTCAACTTACTGACAACTTGACTCCAGTGAGTGGCATGGCCTGTAGTGCGTCTGGTTTCCTGCGGGTACACATGCCCCCCTGCATATGACATACATGCTTCCTCACCCGAGAAAGCAACCGCAAAACACAGAGCCAGGCTCACGCTAAAAAACTCACACGTTGTTGCTCCCGCCATCTTGCCTACGTTGATGCAATCAGCAGAGCTACTCAGGTCGATATTATAGTAGTTGCGAATTTTAAAAAATCGATTTGCAGAATATGCAAACTGTTAAATTTAATGTAAATATTATTATAATGGATGAGTGCATTATTTTATAAAAACAACATGAATGGAATAGGGTTGTAATCGTATGCTACTATCCTACGACGAATCGAATACAATAACGTACGGTATGGTTTGATATTATAAACAAAAATACACTTATTTCACTCACTGACTAATACAAAACTGGCTGTCTAATTTCATCAAAAAATAGCAACAGTAAGTTTGTCCTAGGAGAGAAATTAAACAAATTTACATACTATTTACAGAAAGGTCATATTTATGTATTCTGATGCAAGTATTAGGCTTCAATAATGCTAACTAGTTATACGTCACACAAGAGTATTTCAGAACACCAGATATGAAAGTAAATGGAGATACGACTGATATAGGTGGTCAAGGATGATGAATGTGTGTCCAAATAGCAATAGCTGCGTGGAGCCGAATTGCAGTCTAGGTATAGACATAGTAATTGGACATTGCAACTAAATATCCAGGGCTGCTTCTCGGGCATTAGTCCTGCACCATGACCGTGGAATATATTTATTTTATGAAAATAAAATAAACTAGAAATGTATACAAAAGCAAGTCTAGCCAGCTCAAGCTAGCTCTGAAATCAGCATAGGGAATTTGTTTTTATTTTTAGAGTCAAGAAGGATATTGTGTAGTATAAGATTTCAGAGACTAAATGTTAGTCTACTCGGGCATCGGCGAGTCAATAAACCTGCACGTGTGCCTGATCAGGAGTGTCTGTTATATATGCAATGAAGACTTTTTTCACATGTCATTATTTATCAGATACTAACAGGTAAAAAAATGCATGTACGGAAAGTTATGATTGTAATGAAGTTGTGTTTTCCAGAAGTGGGGTGAACTTATTTGTAAAGTTGTACACGTTGAACTGCTGATCATTTAATCTTCTTCTTTTTAGGCTTTAATATATGTTGTTTTGAATTTAGAATAGAAGTTGTATATAAGAATCGTGTAAGTACAAAGGTTAAAGGGCAAGTAAAGTAAACCAAATGATTGCGATTTTTTTGCGAATATCATGTCCCACCTCAAAGACGTATATACGTCCGTGCCCACCTAAACCGTGAATCTGTTTTTTTTTAATGTAGTGCGATAGACAACGAAACGCTCGTAACATATACCAAATTTAATGTTAGGGACACATTCTAAAAAAATTATGAAATGTATTGCAACGATTAACGATTACCATCAACGCTTTCATAAACCTTTGAATTTTAGATACACGACCAATTAATTTGAATGAAAAGGCAATGACTCAAGATGAAGTATTCACCAAATGATTGTACTATTGTTACATATATCTCTGTACAATGTCTGCCTGGTCGGGGACCAACCAATAAAAAACAGGCCATTTACTCTAAGAAGGCGCCGGCTTTCGTTATACAGAGTTACGTCCCTTTGGCTTGTCAGAAACCAGTGATCGTGGGTTTGATTCTGGGTTCGCCCGAATTATGTTTCATGGTTTGTCGGCACCATACCTGTGCTTATGGGTTTCACAAAAATGGTATACGTCCAAGACCTTAATAAAAAGTGTTGGGAGGGGTAACTCGGGTACTCGGGTCGGGTGGGTCCTGAGTAGTACCCGGGTACCCACAGGACTATCCGGACCCGTGGTTAGTCACGTGATATATTTTTTAATGACAAAAACTCACCATAGCTCAGTGGTTACACTACATTCGCATTTCTTTCTGACGATGCACACATTCCTTTTGACTTGTATATGTTTGAGTAAAGATAAAGCTTCAGTGAACTTCAGTGAACGCATGATCTGATTGTTTGATACATGTATCTAAATAGTTTTAGCCAGGGCTATGGTAAAACAATTACCAATAAGACATTTTGTTCCCAACTCTTGAAACTTGCAGTGGGTACCTTGGTAGGGTCGGGTAATAGGGGGTCGGGTACCCGGGTAGTAAATTTTGACTCGTCCCGGCCCTATAATAATCACTTTGAGCTTTCCTCCCACATCAAGCTAACACGCCGAGTTATAACTGGAATATTGTTCAAAGCAGCATTAAACTTACTCACTCACCCTAACTCCGAGTCAGTATTACTTGACGCATATGGGAAGATCTTATTTAATGAGATGAGTCAAGGACGTGCTCATATTGAAACAACTGAAAACTGATTCTAAATGAACAGATCTTGCTTTTTGCAACATTTTGGTCCAAATTGTGAAAAGTATCTTTTTTCAGTCATATGAACTTTTTCAAAGCATGCTTAATTTTTCAACTCCCCTCAAATTACACAGTGTATCGAGAGTGCTGCTTAAGCTGAATAGCGCTGTTGATAGTGAATGTTGTTTTACACCGCATCATCAGCAATCTTCCTGCTCGTCCGGCATATGAACACAATTCATATCCCAAGTTAGAATTGATACTATTGGCCACGCAATTGTACAAATTAACTATTGAACATTGACTAGATGACATGGCATCCAAAGGAATACTTTGGTTAGAATGACATAGATCTAGTCCTGTTGAAGTGAGTGAGTGAGTGAGTGTTACTTTACGCCAGATGCGAATATTCTGTAATAATCGTCACTGGGCCAGACAAACATCTAGCAATTTCGCTTCTATATAACTGATAGAATCTATTTTATTTTCCCGACAATTCTGAGCATCAAAAGTCGCATAGCTCGTCTACCCACAACAAGTAGTTGTTTAACTAACAGTATGTTATTCGGGATACGAAAATACGGCATGTGCGCGCAGCTTCACTTGGTATCGCTGACATTTCCAAGGTACCGACAACAAAACAACTAATGGCGGATCATTGCATGCGCTAAGGGATAAGATTGCGGTGGAAGATCACTGATGGCGACAACCGTGAGTATATTGGGTTCATTTGTCAACATCGACACATAGTTTGTTAAGAAATGATAGATTTTCATAAAATAACTAGTCTAGCTTCAAGAAGAAAAGGTCAAACATTTACATCCAATATCTTCCTTTTTGACTGTCGAAGGGAACACAGGAGGTGGTCACGTAAATGATTTAGTCCGTGTAAATGTTCATTCTGTCCATGTACTGTTTTGATAATGAAAGCATGTTCGTTAATAAACTTGTGTGCATTTAAAGAATAATCCAATTCTAACAGAAGTCTAATTTTCTATCACGCTAAACATGTTTGTGAACTGATTCAAACATGTCATGTCACCTTTTTAATCATGATGACGCACAAAGACCGTTTTCTTGTAAAACTGACAAGTGTGCCCAATCTGTTCTTTGAATTTCTTTTATACTTTCATGCAGCCATTCCATCACCTTGGTTCAAATATAATATGATGGTTCTGTTGATTCAGTTGTTAGGGTAGATAAAAAATGTATTTGGCATCAAGTGTTGCCATTACTTCATAAGTATAATAATTAAGGCGATATTATGGACAGACGAAGCAGAATCTTTATCGTCACTACAGTCCTCTATGTCAGCTTGTCCAGCAGACTGTGATTGAAGTTTGATATAAGATACACATTTCAAGGTCTTAATCCCCAGAATTAGCCTATAAACCGAGCTGTACGATGAGCATGTATATAAGTTAATTTACCATGTGTTTGTCCAGTACTGGTACATTCATTTCTGGCTTCATGTTATTAACATCATCACAAGTTATTTTTGTCAAAAGAATATGATTTCCAAGTATGCCAATTTGGCGCAGGGAAATATTTTGAACCATGGCATTATGATTTTAAACGGCCAATACATTGACGGTTCTGGTTGTTTTTAAATAATGCATGAAATAATTTCGAAGTGTGACTTCACACCTATAGTCCATGCACAATTCTATTCTAAAATCAAAACAATAGAGCTTCACACAACATGCACAAGTGCTGCGCAGAATAACTGCATTTAGTCATGTTTTTATTTGATGCAAATTGAAGAGAAAGGTTGCGTGTTTCTTACTAATGAGTTACAACATACTAATTGCCAGCTTGATTGGATTTGGAGCCAGTGTTTGTTTAAGCCTAGAATACAATATTAATGCTTCGGTCGTATGAAGTCAATTACTTCACTCTCCTTCCCAGAGTTCCAGACTGGTACCTGACACATAGTCACATCTTACACAGTCCATTCAAGACGTTGCATATGTTTTTCATCTGTTTTCTACGAGTCTACCCATTTAGATAAAAATGTGTCATGAAATTTTTAACTTTCATTGCAGTTATCCTAAAATGTGAAAAACTATTTCCATTTGTGTATTTATCCTTGTTTACATTGGTTGTACAACCCCACATGCTGTCATCAAAGCCCTAAGGCATGTAAGGAGAGCTAGCAATACAGTCACTTTGATGTGTAACCCTATATTGTCATCGAGCCCACTGTCCCAGTTGAAGTAACATATCTATATAATTATGCAAAACAATATGTAAAGCACACTGAAAGGCTTGCATTAGCATTGTCTGTCTGTTCTTGTACCCGAATAAGTGTGTTTGTTTATAAATGAGAGAAAAGTTCAGTCATCATGGTCATGTGATAAGTCTACACACACGATCACTAAGGCAGAAACTTCTCTTTCGGAATAAGGCATGCAGAGTAAGTTTAATTGGGGGTTGTTGGGTATTGTTTGCAAACAATGTTTCAAAAGGGTCAACATACTGGCCCTTTAACTGCGCCATTGCCAAAGAATTTTTAGCAGTTTTCACTGTATGTTAAATTACATGCATTATGAAAAAACAACACGTTTCCATTGTCCTGAGTGACCTAAATCTTCTATCTTAATTTGCACCATAATGTTTATGACAATCCCAGTATCGTCCAAATTTAATGCTACTAAATGTAATGTAAATTTGTTCTGCTTGGAGATAAACCAGTTAGGGCTTAATTTAATAATAAAACATACAAAAATAACAAAAAATCAATATAACATGTCAGACTGTACCAGCATGATCAATGAGCTAGGGCATGTGCTAA